GACGACGATGGCGATCATGTTGATAACGATGGCGATGATGACGACGACGTCAATGACGATGCCGGCCGGCATCCCAGCCATCGCTGTTTCAAAAGCATGCAGCGAGATTGCGGGTGGCCCGCGCGTGGTCCAATAGTTTGGCACACCGTGTGTTTCGTATTTCTTTTGGCAGGAGTGATGGGGGTGGTGTCGTTGGCCTTGGTTTGTTGCCTGTGAGGTGGGGGAGGGTGTATACAATTATCAGGGCCAGTGATCAAGTTCCCAGCGGGAACGCCATGAGCTGTCTCGCTCACTCCCTCCCGCCCTCCCACTACGTAAATAGCACTCGAGTCTCAGCACAGGCAGCAGCCGCCGTCGACAACCATCGGGAACCGCTGCCGACGCCAGCCAGGTGCGCGAAGCCCGAGAGGTTTGCCGCACATGCTAGATGCGCCACGCGCGCCAGGTGCGCCACATTGGGTAATATGTCGACCCCCTCCCCCACCATCCCTGTCAAAAACCAATGCAAAGTGACGGCGGGTTTGCGATCATTGTGTATTGTGTGTGTGTGTGTGTGTGTGTGTGTTTGCGTGTGTGTGTGTGTGTGTGTGGGGGGGGGGTTTGCGCCCACAGTCACCTCGCATGTGTTTTTGACAGGGATAGTGGACCTGCACAGCGCAGGCAGTAGGCAGTATGTCGCCTCCCCGCCGTACCTGGCAAAAGGAGTTTGGCACTTTCGGCTGAAGGGCATGGTGGCCCTGCACAGGGCAGGCAACATGCGCCCCCCCCGCAGTCATTTGCGAACACCAGTGCGAAGGGATCGTGGGCCGCCCGCGCATGATCCAGTGTGCATCAGACGCTCGGCCATCGCCAGGTGCTTGGGGGGCTTTACGCCCCGGGTCGCGTTTGAAGGGGCCCCGCGTTGTTGTGCATTCGCTGCCAAGGACAACAACAAAGAACAGGATGTGTTGCAGAGTGCACTTTGGTCGTATTTTTGCTGCCAGGGTTGGCTGGGGGATGGCTTGCGTTTTGCACGCCGCAGGCAACGTGCCGGACCCGCGCCGTTCCTGTCCAGAGCGAACGCACGGTGATTGCGGGGCGTCCGCACACGATCTGGATTTTGGTGAAGCGTGCACGTCGCATTAGGTCGGGCCTGTCCCTCTACAGGAGGAATACTGTCAGAGGACAATTTTTCGATCATGTTTTATATGTGAGAGCATTGTTTGGCTAGTTTTTATTGTTCGTCCACAACCCCCCTGTAGGGGGACATGCCCGACCTAAACTTCGCACGGTCGATTTGCTAGGGATGGTTGGGGAGTCCCGGCGTTGCACGCAGCAGGCAATCTGCTGGACCGCCCGCCGTCCCTGTCAAACACCAGCGCGGAGTGATTGCGGGCCTTCCGCCCATGATCCAGATTCTGGCGCAAAGTGCACTTGGTATGGTTTTGTTGCAAGGGTTGGTGGGGGAGGGTCGGCATTGCCCTGGGTTTGTCGCTGGTCGGGTGGGGGAGGGGGGGTATACAAATAAGGAGCAGTGGCAAACCCCGCCCCAGAGCAGGGGAATACGGATTTTTGTTGAAAGAGGGACGAGCAACCGCGTCATACCACCTCCAAGAGGGCTTGTGAGAGCCTTCAGTTTCTGAACAGGTGCAGTAAGTTGCTTCGTCAATCCCAAAACGTTTCGTCGGCACCAGGCCAGCTACCCGTTCCTCAGACAAAACGGTTTTGATGACGTCCGACCCCGCGGTGGCAGATGGCGTGATCCAGGCTGCCCTTGAGCTGTCACCTGCACCTGGGGCTCAAGCGAACAGGAATTTGGGTGGCGACTTCGCCTTGCGGTCTCTCTGGGGGGCTTCTCAAGCACGTGTGCCAGATGCGTCTTACATACGCCGCGCGTTGAGCACGTCACGTAAAGAGAGGAGGAGAGGGCAGAGGAGAGAGGGGCGGGGAGGAGAAGGGCAAGGGAGACGGGAAGGGAGAGGGGGAGAGAAGAGGAGAGACACCAGGCGAGGGGATGGAGAGGGCCTGGCCTGTGCCAACCCTCCCTCCCATGACGCAAGAATCACTGCTCGCACACCTCCGACACTGGGAGTGTAGCTCTCTCCCACCCGGCGAGCGGACGGCGCCCGCGCGCTGCCCCCGCTGCCGACGACCTCGGCGACGGAAACACGGCGCGGACCCCGCAGCAGCGGGAACGGCAACATTCGCAGAGAAACGCCACATCAACATAAACGTTTGGCGCTCCGCGCGGATTTCTTGGATCCGCGCCTGGGCCCCCCGGCGGCGCCTCCTGCGCCGCCCCTGGCGCGCTCCGCGCGCCAGGAAGGGGGGTCCAGCGCGAATCCAAGACATCCGCGCGGAGGCGCCAAACGTTTATGTTGATGTGGCGTTTTTTCTTTCTTCTCAACCTGTGCGAGGCGCGCAGCGGAGACGAAGCATGCGCCGCGCCGGCAGGGCCCCTCTCGCCCACGAGTTGCGCCGCGCTTGGGCGAGGTCGGCATGCCGCCCGCCCTCGCGCGGCCCTGCGGCCGCTGCCGCTTTCCATCTGGTTCTGTTCAGGAGGGAAAAAACACACAGACACAATTAACCTTCGAGTCCCAGGAAAATAGGGGAAAATATGGGAAGTGGGGGGGAAGACAAAAACCCACCACATATGGGAAAAGATGGGGAATCTTTTTATTTGTGTGTGTGTTTCTTTGTGTGTCCTGGGGCCCCTTCATCTGTGCAGGAGCCACGCGCGCCGCGCCCGCGCGTGCAGGCCACGCCCGGGCGGAGTGCGCACGGCGCCTGCGCGAGGGCGACGAGTCGCCCGGTCACGCGGGCGGGCGAGGGAGAGGCACGCGCGGCGCCCAGGCGAGAACGCCACCTTCATGCGACGTCTGCTTGGCACCGAAGAGGAGCCACACTTTACCAGCCTCGAACGTATCCCTATCCTTAAGATTGACACGCCAAAAGGCGATGACAATCTGAGGGATTCGCCCTCAAAACATAAGGGAATCCTTAAGATTGGCATCGTGATGAGGAGGTGCCCAGCATAGGGATAGGGATATGTTCCAGGCTGGTAATGACTTTCGTCCTTTTGCGCGTCAGCGACATGGCGTGCGGCAGATGTGCGCCGCACCCTGGCGGGAGTGCAACCCTCTGGACCAACATGCCCGGCGCCCAGGCGGGGTCGACGTTTCGCTCGTTCACGCGGGATGTGTTCGTCCTGTTCTTGCCGCGCAGTTTGCAACAGGGACGAAATAGCGTCCATGCTGGAAGCAGCTACGATTAGGTCGGGCGTGTTCTCCTAAAACAATTATAGCCAAACAAATCATCAGACCCATGCAAGAATACTTAAAAACATCTTTCCCATATTAGTTTTTGACTATTCTTGAACATTCCTCCCGTAGAGGGACACGCCCGACTTCAAACTATGACGATTTTGTATTGTCCTGTGCAGGTATGATGGTGCCACCCGGACCGGATACTGCTGCTATCGGCCGATTGGGTGGCAGAGTAAGCGTTTGCTTTAGTAAGGATTGGGGGACAGGAGTTCCAAGACGTTCTCCAGCTACATGCGCATATCTTTAAGACGGGCACGTCCCTCTACAGAAGGAACATTCAAAAATAGTCAAAATATAGTCAGGATGTTTGAGTATGGTTTGACGATGTTCAATTGTCATCCAAAGTTCCCCTGTAGGAGGACACGCCCGACTACCCCCCACCACCTCAGATCTTCCCGAGCACCGCGACGTCCCCGTAGCAGAAGGCGACTCCGCTGGCAGAAGACGAATGAATTCCACGATAATGATGGGTGCCTTCACCGTATTTCATGTTCCTCGGCCATAGCCGCCTGCGTAATTCGTACCTCCGACAGCTGTGACAGAACACATAGACTCAAATGAAGAACCGACTTGCATAGGAATTGAACGTAATAGCGAAGTGAAGAGTCCATAACAGTAGTGCCGTAGACGTGCCACAAAAGGGCGTGTATTCATTGGCGCCAGCAGATCCTATATATCTGCCACCTCAAGGTCGATGCGGACGATGCCGCAATATGTTGTTCTCCCACGCGCTTGTGAACACCTTTTGAGCAATGCTACGCCGCCGGTCGGAGCTGAACAAGGATTGCAAAACTGTCAGGTTTAGTTACTATATTTGCTGCCTCACTCAGCTAGGGTATGGCGAACGCTACACCATAACAGCCTACCGCGTCTGCAGGCGATCCGCACTTTAAGATCAACTCCCCCATATGCGGAAAGTCACAAGCACGCAGTGAGGAGGCGACTGGGCAGGACCCATGATGCCTTTGAGCCAAAGAGGATCTACGCGCCTTGGGCCCCTTGGGCCTGAGGAGCAGCAGCAGCAGCAGGTTGAGGAGGGGGAGAGGGAGATGGAAGGGGAGCGGAGGACAGGGGGTAACGGGAGGATGAGGGAGGAGGTGGGGTATTTCACGTGGGGGAGTGTTGATTTGCTATGAGGTTTTGGCGTTTTCTGGTGGCCGCGGAACGGTCTCGTGCTGCTGCTCAGACGGGCCCCTGCCTCCCTAGAACCCCTCGTCTCCCCCTCCCCCTCAGGCCCCCGCCTCCTGCCCCCCACTCCCGCCTCCCCTCCTCACCCTCGTTCCGAAGGTAAGGTCAGGGGAGACAGCGACGGTCCCCCCGACTGCGCCCCCCCCCGTGTGCCAAAGTGGGATCGCTCTGAGGACAAAGGCCCCTCCCCCTCAGGGCCAATATCGTTCCGATCGATCTGGTCCGATGTCGATTCTGGCCAGCCAGATCCGATTCGATTCAGAGATTATGACGATCCGATGCGGTTCGATGTTTGCATGGCGTTGCTGATTTTTTTTGCGCTGCCGATCCGATTCGGCTCCGACTCCTTCGACGCATCTTTCGATCCGAGCCGATCTCCAGATTCGATGACGACTGATCATGTTCCTCCTCCGATAGCAGAGATTTTGGCTCTTCCTCTTCCTCGCTCGCTCCTCCTCCTCCTCCTCCTCCTCCTCCTCCTCCTCCTCCTCCTCCTCTCTGGGTCTGAGCTCAAGTCACTCTGGCCCAGGCCCCTCTGGCCAGCCTTGGCTCGCGGGCAAGCCGCGGTCGGCCCACTCGCGGTGCCCCACGGGCCGCGGCGTCCGCCATGCCGACGGGCAAGATCAAGAACTTCTTCCAGGACAAGGGCTTCGGCTTCATCACGCCCGACGACGGGGGCGAGGACGTGTTCGTGCACCGCAAGGTCCACGGCGACGGGCAGGACCGCACCGCGTACCTCGAGGCGGGCGACGCCGTGCAGTACGAGGTTGAGTGGGACGATCGCAGGCCGGCCACACGCAATCGAGCGGCCCTCCGCCAGTCGGGGCCCCTGGGGCGCGTCCTGCGGGCGGCGAGGCGGTGCTCCAACGATGGGGTCATGGGGGCTGGGGTCCTAAGGACAGGGAGGGATCCACCGGTGGATTTGCGCGGTTTGAGGCACCTCGCCCTTACAGGGACCCCATCCCTCGGGGCCCCATCCCTGAGCCACCGAGCGAAGGGGGAAGGCAACACCTGGGCACGCAGGCCGCCGCGCGCGCGGAGACGAAGGGCCGCCTGCGACGACGGCGGCTCGCCTCTCCCGCCGGGCCCGGCTCCGCTCAGAGTCGGGCCCCGGACCCCGCTCTCCGCAGCGGAGCTGGCCGTGGCGACGAGAAGCCTCCGGCAGGCCCGGGAAGGGCGCGAGGGCGCTCGGAGGGAGGGCCTCCGAGCTGCTGCGGCAGCCGCCCGCGGCAGCCGGCAGGCCGCGCACACCAGAGGCCCCTCGGTCGGCCCAGGGCCGCTCCTCGCGTGCCGCCGGGCAGGAGCAAGTACAACGCCTCGTCGTGCACCGGCCCCTGGAAGACGGGCGGCGGCGGTGGCGGGCCGCCATGAAGCTATAGCCCAGACATGAGCGCGTCGTGAAAAATACCCGGACGGGAGGTTTTTTCGGCCATTCTCGGCCTCGGGGGGCCCTCGCCGGACCTCGGGAGCGTCAGAAGACGACTCCGGATGAAAAACCGGTCCCGGGGAAAGGGTCGGGACTTCCAGGGACCCCGTCCTGAAAAAATCAGGACGTCTCGTGTCTGGGAAGGGGTCCGGAGGTCGATATGGTTGCTTTGGGGCTTCCGAGGCCTTCCACGGGCCCCAAAGGGCCACCAGCAGAGCCGAGGCAGGAGCCAAGAGCTCTTGTCCGGACGAAGGCTCCCGTGGGCCCAGGGCCCGCTTCCTTCAGATCCGCTGTCGCGAAACACATGCATCATCACGAAGCCCCACATTCTTCTGCGGCACTTTTGACCTGGATCGAATTGCATTGGTCCTAGGCCCCACAACCCGGCGAACATGACCATTGTTCGAATATTGCGACGCATGGATCTCATGGCTCTTTCATGGCGAGGTGGTGGTTGGGGTGGCGGCGGGGGTGGCGGCTGGGGCGGCGGCTGGGGCGGCGGTGGGGGCGGCTGGGGCGGCGGCGGCAAAGGCGGCTGGGGCCCGTACTGAGGGGTGAGAGGTTCACCCCCGCGCGCGACTCTGGCCCCAGGGCCTGCCGATGCCGAGCCCCCCTGCTGGCGCTCTCCGGCTCCGGCGTGTCAGGGGCGACGACAGGGGGGTGAGTGGCCCAGGGGGGGGAATCGTCCACCCCCGATCGCTGATTTCTCGCCGATCCTGACCTGCGCCCCCCAACCCGCCCAGGAACGTGCAGTGTCGCTGTCGGGGGCCCATCGCTGATCAAGTCTGCAATGTATTGCCAGTCCAGGTCGTTGTCTCCCACCCCAGCAGTGTCCGTTTCGGTCCGATTCGACCTCGATGCTGGCCGGCTTGATCCGATTAGATTCCGATGCTCTCGCCATCCGATGCGGCACGATGCTGCTCGCACGGCCTTGTAATGCGTCCTGGCTTGGCCGATCCGATTCGATCTTGACTCCGTGCCGATGCAGCCCGATCCGATGCGCATCCTGGAGCCGACCAGAGGTCCTCCCGACTTGACGCTGACTGGTCCCTGGCATCGCTCGGACGTGTGCATTTTTTCTTCGGCGATGGCCATCGAGGAGCATCCTTGATCATTTGGCGAAGAAGCCACGCACGAAACCGAAAAAAAGCACAGGGAATGGACGTCCGAGTGATGGCCAGGGTCCTGCCCTGAGCCGGTCCCTCCCTGTCGGACCCCTCGGTGTGCTCGCTCGATCTTTGCTTGCGGCCCAATACCCAGCACATGACTTCTTGACCGCGCCGCCCGGCGCGGGCGCCAGGTTAAAAAGATATCGCTCTGCGCCAGGCCGCCCGAGTGGGGTCCGAGCAGATGGGGCCGGAGGAGCGCGCCGCGTCGACGTCGCCTCGGCGATGCGGCGCGATCCTCCGATCACATCTGCAGCCACGCGCAGAGGGGGCAGGGGGAGGGCGGACGGCTTCTTAGAAGGCGCGGGCCTTGCGTGTAGATCTAATGCCGTCGCCTTCTAAGAAGCAGCCTCCTCCTAAGAAGCCTTCCCCCCTCCCCCTACCCCCTTGTGCGCGCCGTCAAGATGCGGCGCGGTCCTCCGACCACATCTGCTCACAACCCAGCCGCCAGACCCCCGCCGTCATAATTTTTCATGGCGTCGACCCCAGGAGGTCTCGACCCCTTCCCCAGGACACTGGTGTTTCAGCCTGGGTCGTTTCGTCGTTTGCCCCGAGACCCGGCAAAGGGAGCCCCCGGAGGCCGAGGGCAGCGGAAAGCCTTCCGTCGTGTTTTTCCCAACCATCCTGTGGTGTTGGGTCCTCGTTTTGAAGAGACGTCGCCCCGCGTTCCTTCCTCCTCCTCCTTCCTCCTCCTCCCTCCTCCCCCCTCCTCCCCCTCCCACACCCATTCTGGCACACCCCTCACACGCTTCGTGGCCCCATAGGGAGCTCCACCGAAGGCCCCAGTGGCTGCGCCCGCATGCGGTTCCACCCCCCATTCTGGCACACCCCTCACACGTTTCGTGGCCCCATAGGGAGCTCCACCGAAGGCCCCAGTGGCTGCGCCCGCATGCGGTTCCACCCCCATTCTGGCACACCCCTCACACGTTTCGTGGCCCCATAGGGAGCTCCACCGAAGGCCCCAGTGGCTGCGCCCGCATGCGGTTCCACCCCCCATTCTGGCACACCCCTCACACGTTTCGTGGCCCCATAGGGAGCTCCACCGAAGGCCCCAGTGGCTGCGCCCGCATGCGGTTCCACCCCCCATTCTGGCACACCCCTCACACGTTTCGTGGCCCCATAGGGAGCTCCACCGAAGGCCCCAGTGGCTGCGCCCGCATGCGGTTCCACCCCCCATTCTGGCACACCCCTCACACGTTTCGTGGCCCCATAGGGAGCTCCACCGAAGGCCCCAGTGGCTGCGCCCGCATGCGGTTCCACCCCCCATTCTGGCACACCCCTCACACGTTTCGTGGCCCCATAGGGAGCTCCACCGAAGGCCCCAGTGGCTGCGCCCGCATGCGGTTCCACCCCCCATTCTGGCACACCCTCTTTCGTGGCCCCATAGGGAGCACCCCCCACTGCGCCCGCATGCGGTTCTTTCTTCTCCATGGCCCCAGTGGCTGCGAAGGCCCCAGTGGCATGCGGTTCCACCCCCCATTCTGGCACACCCCTCACACGTTCGTGGCCCCATAGGGAGCTCCACCGAAGCCCCCAGTGGCTGCGCCCGCATGGGTTCCACCCCCCATTCTGGCACACCCCTCACACCGAATGGCCGCTCCACCGAAGGCCCCAGTGGCTGCGCCCGCATGCGGTTCCACCCCCCATTCTGGCACACCCCTCACACGTTTCGTGGCCCCATAGGGAGCTCCACCGAAGGCCCCAGTGGCTGCGCCCGCATGCGGTTCCACCCCCCATTCTGGCACACCCCTCACACGTTTCGTGGCCCCATAGGGAGCTCCACCGAAGGCCCCAGTGGCTGCGCCCGCATGCGGTTCCACCCCCCATTCTGGCACACCCCTCACACGTTTCGTGGCCCCATAGGGAGCTCCACCGAAGGCCCCAGTGGCTGCGCCCGCATGCGGTTCCACCCCCCATTTCGGCACACCCCTCACACGCTTCGTGGGTGGCTCCATGGGGAGCTCCACCGAACGCCCCAGTGGCTGCGCTCGCATGTGGTTCCCCCCCCCATTTCGGCACACCCCTCACACGGTTCGTGGCCCCATAGAGAGCTCCACCGAAGGCCCCAGTGGCTGCGCTCGCATGCGGTTCCACCCCCTTTTTCGGCACGCCCTTCACACGTCTCGTGGCCCCATAGGGAGCTCCACCGAACGCCGCAGTGGCTGCGCTCGCATGCGGTTCCACCCCCCATTTCGGCACACCCCTCACACGTTTCGTGGCTCCATAGGGAGCTCCACCGAAGGCCCCAGTGGCTGCGCTGGCATGCGGTTCCACACCCCATTCTGGCACACCCCTCGCACGTTTCGTGGCCCCATAGGGGGCTCCACCAAAGGTCCCAGTGGCACTGCCCGCTTGCGTCCGCCACCACCCAGCACAGCCCTTGTTCCCTGCGCTTCACCCACCCAGAACAGCGCTTCGTAGCCCTATAGGGAGCTCCACCAAAGGTCCCAGCGGCACCGCCCGCATGCGTCCGCCACCACCCTGCACAGCCCTTGCTCCCTGCCTGCGTTTCACCCACCCAGTACAGCGTTTCGTGGCCCCATAGGGAGCTCCACCGAAGGTCCCAGTGGCACCGCTCGCATGCGTCCGCCACCACGCAGCACAGCCCTTGCTGACCGCGTCTCACCCTCCCAGTACAGCGTTTCGTGGCCCCATAGGGAGCTCCACCGAAGGTCCTAGTGGCACCGCCCGCATGCGTCCGCCACCATCCAGCACAATTGCGGCATTCACAACTGCATATGGTTGGGTCCTTCGCCAGGCTAATTGTTCACCCCGCGCGTTCCACTATTCCGAAAGTGCCTACTCGCAAACGTTCGAAACAACACATGTCTGCTTCGATGTTGTTTATCGCAGATCCCGCCCGGCGGATCCAGGCCATTCGCGAGCAGTCACTCTGCGAGTAGTGGAGCGCGCTCGTCTATGTTTGCACGACTCGAGCCTAGACATGCGGCGTCCAGATGTTTTCAACACGGGCGGGGTCGCTGGAAGTCCCGACGCTTTCCCGGGGACGAGTCTTTCATCCTGAGCCGTCTTTTCACGGTCCCGAGGCCCGGCGAGGGCCCCCCGAGGCCGGAATTGGCCAAACGCCTCCCTTCCTGATTCCTGTTGCGACGCGATCCTGTCGGGGAGGGGGTCTGGGTCGGGAGCTCCGGGGCCGCAGCGGGGGCCAGCTCGGCGGGTGTCCTCGCTCCGCGCGCTCGCCCCGCTCGCTCGCCCCGCGGGGGGCCGAGGGTGAGGAGGGCCGAGAGGGGGGGGGGGTCGAGGAGCAGGATCGAGGAGGGGCGGTGGGGGAGCGTCGAGGAGAGAGGGGGGGAGGAGGAGGTGGCAGGGAGGAGGGAGCAGGAGGCCGAGGAGGGAGGAGGGACGAGGGGGAGCGCCGAGGAGGGAGGAGGGAGCTAGGGGGGAGGTCGAGGAGGAGGAGGGGGTCGAAGAGGAGGTGGGGTCGAGGAGGAGGTAGTGTTAAGTCGGGCTTGTCCCTCTGCATGAGGAGTATTCAGCAAGAGGCAGAAAATGATAGGGGGCTGTTTTTTGATGTTATTTGTTTGCGCACTTGGGGGGCACTTTTCGGGTAAATTTTGTAATTTGTCTTCCCCTTGTATTGGGACAGGCCCGACCTGAAGGTAGGGTCGAGGCGGAGGAGGAGGAGGAGGAGGAGGAGGAGGAGGAGGAGGAGGAGGAGGAGGAGGAGGAGGAGGAGGAGGTCGAGGAGGAGGAGGAGGTAGGGTCGAGGAGGAGGAGGAGGGGCCGAGGAGGGGCCGAGGAGGCAGGGCCCCGAGGGGACTCGCCGAGGCCCCGCTCTGCGGCCGGGGGCCTCCGCGCTCCCCGCGCGGCCCGGGCCCGCGTCGCGGCCCCTTCCGCTATCCGCTGCCGCGGGGCGCCGCGGAAGCTCGCGTCGCTCTCGTGGGTCGCGCCAAGGCTCGGAAAGCCTCTACATGGGCGTCCAAGGCCCTTGCATCCTGATCGCGCATCCTGATGATGTTCAGGAGGGACAAAAAACACAGACACAATGCATCGTCGATTCCCTGGATAAGATGCGAAAGTATGGGAAGAGGGGGAAGACGAACATCTAGAAAATATGGGAAATATTGTGAATCCTGGGATTTGTGTCTATTTATTTGTGTGTCCCAGGGCCCCTTGAAAGGCCCTTGCATCCTGATCGCGCATCCTGATGATACGGGCCGACTGCGAAGGGCGAGAAGTCTCCCAGCCTGCCCGGGATCCCCTCGGGGCAGGTCTTGTCCCGTATCTGTAGGACGCCCGAGAGGGCGGCCCAGATGGGCCCGGCCTCGCGGCC